CTTAAAGGATACGTTGGCTTAAGTACTGCGATTTTTACGGATCTCTGCACTGCTCTGTTTACCTCTGACCCAGCTTCGTTTCTTGTTCTTCTCTCCGTCGTGCCTTTCGCCGTTTGTCTCACGGCGGTTTTCTTCCTCCGTGAAATCCCTCCGTCTACTACCTCCGACGAGGATAACGAAGAGTCTAAATACTTCGCTGTGTTTAACATCGTTGCGGTTGTTGTTGCTGTGTACCTTCAGTCTTACGACATCATCGGAATCAAAACCGGAGCTTTCTCTATCGCGTTCGCTTCCATACTTCTCATTCTCTTAGCTTCTCCTATCGCCGTCCCATTCCATGCCTTTATCCGGAGCAAAGATCACGATGAACAAGACGTAGAAGGACGAATCGACGAACCGTTACTGAGATCAGGATCCGAGATTGAAGTGGAGGAAACAATGGTAGGTGCTGCAGCGGCGGCGGATAATGAATTGCCACCGTCGCTTAAGCCGTTAAATAACGAGGAGGTAGAGAATCACGGAAATGTGGTGACGACGGAGAAGAAAAGACCGGTTCTTGGAGAAGAACACACCATAATGGAAGCGATGTTGACCGTTGACTTTTGGGTGTTGTTTGTGTCGTTCTTGTGTGGAGTAGGAACTGGTTTAGCAGTTATGAACAATATGGGTCAGATCGGACTCGCGCTTGGTTACACTGACGTCTCCATTTTTGTATCAATGACTAGCATTTGGGGATTCTTTGGTCGGATTCTCTCCGGTACTATCTCCGAGCACTTCATCAAGTGAGTCACTTTACTAAAATATGTTTATCTAACAACGTGACTTGGAATATTCTTACTGATCACTTTAGGCACACGCATTCAAATGCAAATAATGTACATTCTGTGAATTCAGGGGTGATGTCAGTTTCCTCTGTTTCACCTTTGCTTTGCCGCTAAGGGAGAGAGTATATTACTTTCCTCTTCTGTTACTTGGAATTGAATATTTCCATTTACATGATATTTCTTTAAAATATTTTTTCAATTAAAGCTTGACATGTTAGGTCTTTCTCCTTTGGAGAAGTTTCATTGTCTAACAATAGACCGGTCCAATAGCTTGAGCCGGGGGACCATAATAAAAGTTTTCTACTTTTCTGGGTTGAAATATCTTTTTAGATTTTCTGTAGTCTTTATTTGAGAACGAAAGATTGTGGGACCTTTAATAATCTTGCTATTAAAGGGAACTTTTACTGCAGAGACTAATCTTGAATTTTTGTTTTAACTTTATAGAAAAGCTGGAACACCAAGACCATTATGGAATGCAGCAGCTCAGATCATTATGGCTGTTGGGTATCTACTGATGGCTTTAGCCATGCCCGGTTCACTCTACATCGGTTCAATGGTGGTTGGGGTTTGCTACGGAGTCAGATTAGCCATAACCGTACCAACAGCATCAGAACTCTTCGGTCTCAAATACTATGGACTCATCTACAACATTCTTGTACTTAATTTGCCTCTAGGATCGTTCCTCTTCTCTGGTCTACTCGCGGGTTTACTCTATGATGCTGAAGCCACACCAACTCCTGGTGGAGGCAATACGTGTGTAGGAGCTCATTGTTTCCGTATGGTCTTCATTGTAATGACGTTAACCTCCATTATTGGAGTCGGTCTTGACCTTTTGCTTGCGTATAGAACAAAGGGGATCTATGCGAAGATTCATGCGAGCAAGAAGGGTAAGAAATCTAGTGCTAATCTTCGATGAGAGTGGATTGGCTTTTGGTGACAATCATTTTTTGGGTATCTTTAGTTCTATAGTAAACGTAGATTTGTTTTGTCTATTTTCCAAAGCATTTATGTTCAGTATTATTGGAAGGGATGATTGTATTTGTATGTACACTTATGCTTGCTATCGTTCAAGCCTGTTAAGTGTGCTTAACCAGTTGTATGGTTTAAAGTTCAGATAATGGTAAATCAATAATCCACAATTTCACGAACGTACAAAACACACTAAATTGGAATGACACTTACATCTACAACGTCTTCAATTAGAAGGGGCAATTTCACGAAGGGACACTTTAACGAAGGGACAATTTCAATTCCATATGAGGGAAAATAAATATAAGAACCAACTGTATGATAGAGACTCAGAAGATAAAAAATCTTTCCGCAATTTTATTTACTTGTTTATATGCAAGTAATTGTAATTTACACATCTAAATAATTGTAATTTGAACGATTTTATTCGGTTAAACTTATTATAGACTCTTTTGATAATATAAATAAGAACTTTGAGAATTTGAAAACCTAGACCGATTGAAGTAAAGAGAACAAGAATCCGAACTAATAACATAACTCAGATATATATATTATTTGATATAAATCTATAGTAGTTTTGACTTACAACATAGTCTATACATTTATAACAATGTCTATGAGCATCACCAATGTATATATACAGACAGCTTCATCAAACCTTGAAGACATAAGAGACACGCATCAAAGAAGAAAACAAAACTTGTGAGGCTAAGACAAGAATGTTCATACTAGAGAGTGAAGCTTTGTCATATATCAATGAAATCCTCTTGACCCTCTAGATTGGTAAAGCTCCAATCTACTCTTTGCTTCTGGTAAAATCTCGTCAATCGTCGGTGCTTCCACCAAATGAGCTTGCTTTGTCGACCATTCAAGCACTACAAGAACCTCTTCTTGAGCTAAAGCCTCACTGTCCGGTACATTCAAAGCTATATAACAAAGTAGCATCAAAGCCGGGACTTGAACCATTTGTTCTCCAAAGTAGACCAATTGAATCAAATGCTTTGCACCTCCTGCTGCTATAATCGCTTTAGAGTGGTTATCGCGAAGGAAATTATCGGTACATGAGAATTTGATAAGCGCTACTGCGGCTTCCATTGCAACCTCTGCTTCTCTTTCATCTAGAAGCTTCACAAGTGGTCCAATGATCCTTGTTTCCGTTGCACGGAATGTTCTTGAAAGACTACCGATTGATTTGATACACGGGATTAGAAGGTCCGTTATTTCGTTTTCGATCACCTTAAGTAACTGTTCAACTACAGCTTTTGCAGCAGGAGAGGTTGGTTTGAAAGCTGAACGTCTAAGTTCTGGATACTGTTCAGCCACATCTGTGATCTCCATCATTGCCAAAGCGGAATATGACTTGACTTCATCGTCTCCTTTCTCTAACAGAACCGCAAAACAGAGCAATGCTCTTGACTCTGTTATGCTTCTACATATTTGGAGATTCCCTCTTGAGAGTTGCCACAGTGCTCTTGCAGCCATTGCCTTCATCTGAGCTTTAGTAGCTGGATCCTCAAACTCTCTTCCTTTTATGCTTGTCCCCATTAAAGAAACATGTGTCGGGTTGTTCCCTCTCGGGTTTGAACCACCCTTGGTATGATTCTGGTGCTGTTGGTTGCTCTGTTTTATCTGATTCTTGTTAGTTCCCGAACCCGAACCTGAACCCGAACCTGAACTCGGACCCGAACCCTTCATTGCTAATGTGTTTGTAATCAAGCTATGCATCTGGCTCGGTGTTTGATTACTCATAGGATGTGAAATATTGCTTTTTGTCTCGTCTTGCTCGCTATTCTCCTTCTTACCCGTCGGATTCGTATTACTTGCCATCACAACCGTATGGATCGAAGACAATGTCTGCTTGTTACTCACGATAGCGTATTTGCTATGTTCTTGAACCGTCTCAAAAGCTAAATGGCTTACAAGGAAACGAATGATGTTGTTCTGAGCAAAATGGTCTTGACATTTTGGATGATTTGAAGCTAATTCAGAAACAGCCCAAGCAACAACAGTTTGAACTTTCATATGACCTTCTTTAAGAATCTTTGCAAACACTTGACACACACCTGCGTTCACAATCTGTTCAACACTCTCTGGATCACGTCCTAATAACCCAATGGCTCGAGCCGCGTTTTCTTGACCTTCCATTTTACCTTCTTTAGCAAGTTTCAATAACGGAGGAACCCCACCTTCTTCAATAATCAACCTCCCGTATCGATCATTGTCACGTGCAAGCGACACGAGCGAAGCCGCTGCATCGGATCGATCATCGAGAGAGCCTGTGAACAGAATTGCAACTTGTTCCCAAATCAAACAGAGGATTGGTTCGTTGGCAGCGATGGGAGGGAGACCTAAATACTCATCGTCACGATCATCTCCTGAAGCAGAGACACGGAGAAGCCAAGAGACGTCTCCGATTGAATTCTCTAACTGCATCGTGATTTTCCTAAACGCAGCCGCGGGGATAATGGTGAAAACACGTTTCATCAGTCCCGTGGCGCGGCATTTTTCGACGAGGGCTAATGCTTTGAAGAGGACTTGCTCTGTATCGTCGATGATACGGCGCGTGGGACGTTCGTAGAGATCGTTGCTTGCACGCGCCGCTTGACGGAGGAGACCGGCGAGCTTTTCCGTTTTGGCTTTGACCTCTAGACATTCTTGACGGAATGAGTAAGCTTCGTCTGACGCTTTAGTTATCTGATCCGCTAATTGAATCGGTCTTACTAAGATCTGTTTCACGATATCCGCCATGAGAGAAACAACAGTCAAGAAACTCTTATAACTCGATCCTGTTGGTGTAATCAATCGAAAGTTAATGAAGATGGTGGCTTTGATCGCCGGAGACGACGGTGGAGCGAGGCGGGGAGAGAGAGATACAGAGAGAAAAATGAAATATTGGTGAAACGTTAATTTCTCCGAATTTTTCAAGGAAGAAGAAAGGCTCTCCAAAAATAGACGTTTTATATACAGAAACTGAATCGGATACTTTCAGTATAATTATAGAAACATTATTATTCGAATAATCGAATGTGAGATTGTTGGTGGAGACTATATGTGAATATAATGCAGTAATTGTCCTAGAATAATATAGCGTTTAATTTTCTTATTTATGTGATATTTCAACAAACAAATACGCAATGTTTGCATGCATGGTTTAGCCCGACATATTTAATGTTAATTGTTAAAGCAAGAAATTAATGTATATGCAGGACATAACCATGATAGTGGATTTTATTTCTAGCCTCAAAATTAGTTTAACCAAGTCCATAAGTGTCAAAGTTAGGGCCTGTCCAAGTTGGCACGGTATGTGGTAGGCAATAACATAAATGCATTGAGTCTGATTGTGAAGAGTTTCTTGTTCGTTGATGACTCTCGTGATTCTTGGTACGTTTGGATGCAAGCAAATTGTGGCACAACTTAACACAGTCAAGGACACCAGCTTGTCTCTTTTTAGTAAACCCGTAAACATCCTATTTCTAATTTTTAGAAATTTCTAACAACAACTTAATGGTTGAAGGGTGGTACAGAATTAGGTTTTATACTGGTGTTAATCATCTACTAAAACATATTCACTCAAGGAGAACGGTAGAGCTCAAATTATTCACAAATCTAAGATATTATGAACAAAGAAAAATAAAAAGGCTACACACACACACTTTGCATTAAATTCATCGGCGATCGAAGATCACACAGACACCTTTCGAAATAATGTAACTTACAGAATACGTAATCCAAAACCAAAGAAATATACTGGTTCCAACTTCCAATGCTTGTCAAACTCGGATATCTGTTAAACTTTCCCTTCGATTCTCGCATGAGTGAGTCCAACGCAGGCATCCACGAAATCTCCTTCAATGAAATCAGTCGACAGAATTTGCAACTTGTCTCCACATCCCCTGGAAACACACTGAGATATAAATAGCCTTGCGTGTTTTCGGATTCGATCAGTCACCGGTTTAACCCCAACAACCAGATTATCTGCTTGCGGAGTAACCGTGTTCTCAACCCGGTAAAAGAATCTTCTATAAGATATTGGTTGCTGTTCGCTCAGATGCTTCAAATTGCTCTGAAATTTCGTCCATGGAAGATCTGTATCGATCCAATTATCTTTTAGATAATCTGAGTTCCAGAGAAGTCCACCACGGCGCGGCTTCTGAGAGTCTCTTGGTTTCCAGATGCAAATAACCCTTTTCGGCAAAATCTCTGATATCGGTTTGTCGAACAAGTTATCGTCTTGATGTATCAAGAATTGACCTATCTTGTCTGCCAAGTAAGCCTCGAATCCCATAGGGTCTTTCTTTTTAAACTCGGTCCTTATCTCAAGGATTATGATCTCAGATTGGGTCTCCGACAAAAATCTAACGACGTCATTGAGGACGACATCAACGTTGTACGACGACAGAGCTCCATGGCAGACACTGCGGTCTTCCTGTATACGGATATCGAGGACACGTGTTCCAAGAACTAGCTGGTCAAAGATGGAAAGCGTTTGGCATTCACCCAACCAACGAGTGAACACAGGGTCCCCGATTCCGTTGGTGGCTGAGTCGTGCGTTCCGGGCCACACGATCTTGTTAAGGGTTAGCTTATCCACAGAGAGATGCGCCATCCAGTTCTTCCGATCGGGCGAGTGGTAGTCATCCCCAGGGAAATGCGAACCATTAGATTCTTGGAGATTGTCTAGGATTTGTTGTTGCTCAAGGACGTCCCGTGGCCGCTGGAGCTGGTTTTGGATGATCGATACCGCTGGATTTATCACTTCTTCTGCAACAGTTCTCGCAGAATCGTTGGCAAAAGATACCATACTGTCTACTAGGTTCCCGAAAAAAGACATGTTTGAGAGATGAGAACTTCTTTTAGGGTCTTGGCTAATGTCTCATGAAGTGTTTCTCTAACTTATGAATTCCTAGTCTTAAAGAAAGTTTCCTTTTGCTTCTTTCTAGTTAATTTCGTATTTCTCAATTTAACTATTGGCTTGTCTACAAGTTGGCCACTACTCGGTCACTAAGAACTTTATATGTCTAAACCATAGTTATAAGATAACATCAAGTTGTTGTTCTTTACTTAATTAAAAGAAAGAAAAAAAGTTGTTGTTTCTTACTATTATATATGAAGTTGTTGACAAGCTATATATGCTATGTGTGTATTTATATACGATAATCCAATTTTTCTATAAAATATTTGTCAGAATGACGTTCTTAGAAACCCTTCTTCTTAATTTAACCTTTTTTTTCCTGATTATAAGTTTACTTTGACATTTTCCAGTATAATATTTGATTGAATTCAATACTTCAGTATACAGTTTAATCAGGCTTTGAAATAACTAATTAATGTCAACATGACCTAGTTGAGAAATCCGAAAAGAGAAAGATATATGCTCAGGTTTTAGGCAGGTCTCTGATTCAAGGAATATGTCATCTCTGGAAGAGGTCGAAAGTCTCCAGATGGCGGATGCGTTTTGGATATGGAGACGCTTATCTTGCCGAAAAAGATTTACACTAGAGTATTTAACATTTTTTTTTCCATAATTCAAGAACCTGAGCGAGAGTAATCAACAGAACACATTCCCCTGCATCATTTTTTTCTCTCTGCTCGATTTTTCAAACAGAACGAAAATAGTTCTCGTTATTCACAGATTTAAGATATGACGAATAACTAAAAATGGAAAGGATACAATTATACAAACTTAACATACTCACTTTCATAAATAGTGTAAAGTGTAACTTTAGATACACGCAACACAACAGCAAATAATCTTAGTTCCAATGCTGGAGATCAACCGTCGTTCCATAGTTCTATCAAATTTTCCCTTCAATTCTTGCGTGAGTGAGTCCGACACAGGCATCGACAAAATCTCCTTCGATGAAATCAGTGGACAAAATCTGTAACTTATCTCCACATCCCTTGGAAACACACTGGGAAATAAAAAGCCTAGCGTGTTTTCGGATCCTATCAGTCACTGGTTTGACCCAAACAACCGGATTATCTGCTTGCGGCGTAACCGTGTTCTCAACCCGGTAAAAGAATTTTCTAGAAGATATCGGCTGCTGCTCACTCAGATGCTTCAAATTGCTCTGAAATTTCGTCCATGGAAGATCCGTATCGATCCAATTATCTTTTAGATAATCTGAGTTCCAGAGAATTCCACCACGGCTCGGCTTGGGAGACTCTCTTGGTTTCCAGATGCAAATAACCCTTTTCGGCAAAATCTCTGATACCGGCTTGTTGAACAAGTTATCATCTTGATGTATCAAGAATTGACCTAACTTATCCGCCAAGTAAGTCTCAAACTCCGGAGGGTCTTTGTGTCCAAACTCAGTCCTTATCTCCAGGATTACAATCTCCGAGTGAGTCTCCGACAAGAATCTGATAACGTCATCGATGACCACATCAACGTCGTATGACGTCAGAATCCCGTGGCAGATTTGGCGATCCTCTTGCACACGGATATCGAGGACACGTGTCCCGAGGACGAGCTGCTCGTAGATAGAGAGCGTTTGACATTCAGCCAAGGGACGAGAGATCAGAGGTATTCCGATATCGTTGGTGGCTGAATCATGCGTTCCTGGCCACACGATCTTGTTTAGAGTTAGTTTCTCCAACGTAAGACCGGCCATCCAGTTTTTCCGATCGGACGGACGGTAGTCATCGCCAGGGAAATGTGAACCGTCGGATTTTTCGAGATCCGTTAGGGTTTTTTCCTCATTAGACACATCTTTTTGCCGGTCGATCTGGTTAGAGAAAAAAGAGAGCATGTTTTGAGAGATTGATGAAGAAGGAGAAGAGGATAAGGTTTCTCTTGTGGTTGAGTTCACGACTTGTACTTTGTAGGGTTCACTTATAAATCTGAGAGATATCGTGCAGTGTTTGTCTTCAACGTGTGAAACGTTAGATAAAAGGCAATTATTTGTTGTGGATTGGTTGGAGTTTGACTTCTTAGTTCAAATTGATTGGCTATCTAATTAAAAGTTGCCAACAAATTAAGGTCTTGATAAACATGAGTTGTTAATAAAACGAATATGCGATGTGGTTTATGCATATTATATCAGAATCCAAGTACTAGGTCTATAAAATATTTATTTGGTTATTTCTTTGTCTTTATCTTTTTCATAAACTGTTTAGCAGGTAAGCATAATCAATTTTTAAATATACTTTAGGATTTGAAGTTAGCTTTTCAAAAGTTTGGATTTTTAAAATTATTTTGTAGAATTTATTTAGTCTTAGCTTTGGCATTAATATAAGTTATCAACTCAACAGAAATTGTTATTGTTTAGTGTATAAATTCTTTTGGATAATGAATGATATTTATACCAGGATGTACAAGTACAACAACTAATTTTCATTCCGTTAAATTATAGTATCAAATCTGGTATAATTGTTAATTGATTATACACAACCAGTGGATGACACGTGTGACATAAATAGTCTACAAAGTTTCTGCTTGGGAGAAACATATCTTTATAAATAAATATATACTGCTTGGTAAATGTATCTTTTTAATGTTACATTTATATGGAGACTGGAAATAAGTTACAGATATGACTTTCTCACAATAGATTGATCGATATTTTCCCCCTCTGATGACGTTCAAAGCTAAACACTAAGATTAGGGTAGAAATCTGAACTTACAAAAGGAGCTGAAAACTCGTCGAAACAAGCCATCCTGATACGCTCTGGCGTGGCTGGACTCTCTAGAGGGAACCAGTCTGTGAGACCCACCTCGGTTCTAGCCGCTTTAATAGCTTCCTTTATCGCAAAGAAAACCGATGTTGCAAGAAAGAATGGTGGCTCACCCACTGCTTTAGATGAATGTATTGCCTTTGTATTTGGATTTCCCTGATTTAATAAAGTATAATCTCAGGTTCAGTTTCAAATGTATGGCTACCAATTTAAAGCTTGGTCTCATAGTTGCAAACCTTGAGAAGAGAAACATTGAGGTTGAACGGCATGTCGTTGATGGAAGGTATCTTGTAGTTTCCGGGTCCACAAGTGAGTAAACTTCCTGGTTTAATCCATTTATGAGCTGCATCTCCCCATTTGAGTTCTTCTAAAGCTACCCAACCAAGTCCTTGTATAAACGCTCCTTCTATCTGTATATAGTCATATCAGATACAACATTATTCTTTTTAAAGATTGCAAGAAAGTACAGGAGGTTGAGAGAAGAACACGCACTTGTCCAACATCAATGGCTGGGTTAAGAGAATACCCGAGGTCCAACATTATATCAGCTGCTCTTGTGTGGAAATCACCAGTTAATGTATCTATCTCAACTTCAGCAAAGGCAGCTCCATATGTGTAATATCTAAAGGCATTCCCTTTTCCAGATATCCAGTCAAATCCAAGATCAGGAACAATGTGAAAACCATGAGCTGATAGGTCTATCCGTTGAAAGTAGCAGGCACTTACTAGCTACATGCACTCAGAGAGACAGCGATTGGTTCATCAAAATAGGCATCTAACTCTTCTGAGTTATTATATCAAATTGCAAGAGAGAAAGAATACCTCAGCAAATGTGTTGAAATTGTGCTTAGATGCAACAGGTTCCATTCTTGCTATAATCTGCTCACAAGCGTCTAAAACTGCAGCACCATACATATCAGAGCTCGCAGAAGCAGCAGTTGGTGACGCATTAGGAACCTATTAAGAGATCATCAAAACGATAAGAGAGGAAGAACATTTTTGTCTGATTATGTCTCAGCCCAAAGTGTGTAACTTATATTTGACTTATATGTACCTTGTCAGTGCTTGTCTCTGACACGAAAACTGAACTAAGTGGAATGTTAAAGGCGGACGCAGCAACTTGAGCGACCTTTGTATGCAATCCTTGACCCATCTCCACACCTCCATGAGTCACCAAAACAGTCCCGTCCGTGTAAACATGAACAAGAGCTCCAGCCTGTAACAGCCCCATAGTGTGAAGAGAAAAATAAGATCAGTATTTAAAATTTCAGATTCTAGCTTTGCCAGCAATGGCGAAATTTCCATGGCCGATTTTTTCTTATTGTTTTTAGTTTCTCGACAGAAAACTAAATTTGAAAGAAAAAGGATCCACTTCAAACAAAGATAACCTGATTCATGAACTTTGTGGTAAATGATATGCCAAATTTTGTGGGAACCATAGCTACACCACGCTTTTTCCACCGGTTATGACTATTAAATTCGTCAGCTTCTCTGCGGGCCTTTAAGAAGTTGCAGGATACTTTCAGCTCTTTCCAGAGCTGATGCAGCGTGCAGTGCTGAAGAGACTGAGAGTAATGTGTGACTGATCCTTCCACTTGAAAGTTCATCTCCTAAAGTAAAGTAACACCAGAAAGTATTAAGATAGGAAACTGACAAACTTCCTACAATCTTTCAGGAGATGGAGTTGTTTAGAAAATATTCAACTCACTTTGATTTCTTCAGGGCTTTTATCAAGCTCCGCTGCGATTCTTTGGATCCAGTTTTCTGTTATAAGCATACCTTGGGGGCCTCCAAACCCTCGGAAAGCAGTGTTGCTGGGAAAATTAGTAAAGCAAACGTTCCCTACAATCCTTACATGCGGGATCTCATAAACGTTATCCGAGTGAAACATGGCACGTTCAAGAACAGAAAGGGAGAGATCCAAAGAGTTTCCACCATTGTTGTAGATTTCAAGGTCTAAGGCCAATATTTTTCCTTCGTTCGTAAATCCAACCTGTAAGAGAGCAGAACACAATTAAAAGGAATTGTTTAGTTTGTCTAACAATCTCTTCCCACTGTTTCTTCTACTTTCAACTGTTTTCAGTCCTTTCCATTTCATTGTCTGCTCACTAATGGAGTCCACTGCCTAAAAATTCCGGGGAAAAAAAAACTGGAAATACCTTGTACTTTCCAAGGAAACTATGACGATGACCAGTTATCATCATGTCCACATCTCTGTCCAGTATGAGTTTCACGGGTCGATTCAATAGATAGGAAGGAACAGAAGCTGCAGCAGCAATGAAAGCTGATCTTGTTTCTTTACCACCAAAGCCACCACCAATTCGTTTGGTTTTGCATACCACTTTGGACATCGGAAGACCAAGAACATGGGACACATATTTCTGGTGCTTTTGAGGAGCCTGCATATAAATCACAACCACCAATATTTGCTTAAGCAGAGACAACATTATCATTTAATATCTTAAACTAGCTGATGCCTAATAGTTTTCTTTTACAGAGAGTTGATGGTCATGTACTGGTCGTACAAAGCATAAAACAAGTGAATTTCACTCAGTGAACTATACGGCAGTACACTAATAATATACTTACCTGTGTGGATGAAATCATATGAACTTCGCTGCCTCCATCTACTGTCCAAACCAAACTACCATTAGGCTCCAAGTAAAAGTGTTCCTGACCACCCATTTGAACCTCTCCCTCTATTATCCTGTCACACTGACCAGATTGAAAGCACAACTCGACATCCCCTTTTCTTAGCCTTTTCTGTGTGTTCGGATGGAAATTTTTAGCATTAATCGCCTCCTTGATTGATAATATCGCTTCTAGTTCCTCATACCTAACGTCAACTTTTCCTGCTGCAGTTTTTGCATTTTCATGCGTATCCGCGACAACCACACCAATGACCTGAAATACCAAAGTTAATGTTAATGAAATAATTGGGACGTAAGAAATACATATATCTGACAAAATACTGGATCATATGAGAACTTTCATTTACTTTTTGAGAGATAAACAGTACTATAAGAAAACTTTGCTTGATTACTTTCTGGTGATAGAAAGCATGCACAAAAAACAGTTTTGCTTATAAAAAGCATGTAACACTTCTTCTGAGACACAAGGAAGTTATAGGTTCGCCACTGAGTTTCCATGGAAAAGCTAAGAAAAAATGTGAAAATTTAGGTTTCAAATTTTCTTACTTGTCCCACACACGTGACCACATCTGTAGCAAATAATTCTTCGTCGGGAACAATTGGTCCAATCATATTATCCCCAGGAATATCTTTGGCAAGAAACAGACCAACAAAACCAGATGAAGATTTGGCTGCCGTATCATCAATTGAAAGGATGCGGGCATGTGGCACTTTGCTTAGCACAAAGGCAGCATGTAAGGTATTAGGAGGTACTGGGGTATCATCAGTATATTCTGCTTCCCCTGTGACCTACATAAAAATAATAAGTGTGTTGAGATACACTCTATGGACCTCCGGTGAGCCAACAGATGGACCAACATACCTGCATTCTCGCTGAAAGATGGACCTCCGACGAGCCAACAGATGTTCCCTGTTTTACTGTCTCATAGTCTTGCTTTCCAATTCTAGATAACCGAGGAACAGGTTGAACAGCTGACATATGGGAGGGTGGGAAGGTCTCTATCGCAGAATTTACATTATGTACATTATGAGAAACCCATAAGAAAAATTTAAAGAAGAAGCTTAGGGTTAGAGATTTCCGAAACTCCACCATTCCCCCAGGAGCATCTTCCTTAATCAAGACATCGCTCTGTATGACCCTAAGCGCATCTTGCAGAAGATCTTTATTCCAATTCTTTCCAATTAGAAATTCTTCAGTCTTTCTCGCACACAAGGAAAGTGGAGCCACACCTCCGTAGGCAATGGATGCATCAGAAACGAACAATTGTTGTCCCTTCTCTTCAAGAAACACACGCATTCCACCATTGACAATAGCTATATCATCATCCCTGCGATGGGCCTGCTTAAATTCTTTCACATACTCTAAGGGCCTTGTCCATGGAAGGAATACCGACAACAAGATCTCTTTGCTCCCCATATCCACTTTACGGTAACCAAGGAAGAAATCTTTTGCAGGTATAGATCTAACAACTCCATTGCAGTTAGTTATCCGAAACTCTGCTCTTGAAGCCATCCAAAGAGGATTTAAATCAGATATTGGACTAGCTGTACAGATGTTTCCACCAATGCAAGCAACATTTCTTATTTGTGTCCCAGCAAACCACTTCAGCTGTTCGATAAAAGACTTGCATGCTGATGTTTCATGTGCA